TGGCCTGTATTTGAATTAGACCAAATGGATAAGTAATTTGTTAGAAGTTATGGATTTTGTGACCACTGAAAAAAAATTTCCTTTATTATTGAAATAAATCTAGGTAGGTGGTTTCTCCTTGGTTTCACAGTACCTTCAGCAGCAGCTCCTTTCTTCTTTTCTGAGGTGCTCTAGCTCCTGCACACCTAATTTGGTTCTAGTACAAAAATTAAATGGGTTTACCAATCTAGCTAATGTTTAAGAATTGTGTGTATGTATAAAATTATACATACATGAATTTTTTTTTTTGGTAAATTATTTTCATTTACTCTGTATAACTGAGTAGAAATTTTTCTCTCTTAGTACTCTGGAAAAATTATTTCTGCCATATGAGTATTTTTGACTTGGACAAGAAAGCACATAGAGATCTCCAGAACCAGCAGAGAGCCTTTGCAGCTCCCTGTGAAGACTCTGAAACCCACTGCCACCACATTTTGAGGTCCTGGTCCTGAACTGACTTCATATTATTACTTCTACAGGAAACATTGGTGAGACCCTTGAGATAATTTTTAGAAAAATGGACTCAGACTCACACATCACAGAAGTCTTCCAGAGAGAACTCATGTGTGCCATCTGCCTCAATTGCCTTATAGACCCAGTCACCATAGGCTGTGGACACAGCTTTTGCAGGCCCTGCCTCTGCCTTTCCTGGGAAGAAGCCCACACTCATGCCTCTTGCCCAGAGTGTAGGAAACCATCACAACAGAAAGACTTCAAAACAAATATTACTCTGAAGAATTTAGTGTCCATTGCCAGAAAGGCCCGCCTCTTGCAATTCCTGAGCATTGAGGAACAGATGTATGGTACCCACAGGGAGAAGAAGAAGATGTTCTGTGACGTGGACAAGAGCCTGCTCTGTTTGCTCTGCTCTAACTCCCAGGACCATAGAGCTCACAGACACTGTCCCATTGAAGTGGCAGCTGAGGACCACCTGGAGAATATCTTAAAGCAAATGAGCTCTTTATGGAAAAGGATGCAAGAAAATCATAGAAATCTACATGAGAAGAGGAGAACAATCCTCTTGTGGGGGGGCTATGTGCATCTATGGGAAAAGATGATCCGAGATGAGTACAGGAAGCTGCCTCCAGCTCTCCAAGAGGAAGAAAAACAACATATAGAGAGACTGACAAAGGAAAGCCAAGAGATTTTTCAGCAACTTAATACAAGTGAGGCCAAAATGGATGAAAAGAGGAAACAACTAAAAGAAATGTACAGCACACTGATGGAAATGTGCCAGAAACCAGATGTGGAGCTGCTCCAGGATTTCGGAGATATACTGGCAAGGAGTGAGTCCACGTGCGAAAACAAACTATAATTCCTTAATATATTTCTGATGTTTGATTTCTAGAAACTTGTTAAACTATCTGGACAGAATACAATTACTGATCACTCCTATTTTGGGGGTTGAATTTCTTATTTTAACAACAAAAAATGTGATTCTCCCTTTTCTCTTAAGTTATTGGAAAAAGGATTCTTTTACAAGTATAAAGAAGGTCTTTTCTTTGAACAAATTTTTGGCCTGTATTTGAATTAGACCAAATGGATAAGTAATTTGTTAGAAGTTATGGATTTTGTGACCACTGAAAAAAAATTTCCTTTATTATTGAAATAAATCTAGGTAGGTGGTTTCTCCTTGGTTTCACAGTACCTTCAGCAGCAGCTCCTTTTCTGAGGTGCTCTAGCTCCTGCACACCTAATTTGGTTCCAGTACAAAAATTAAATGGGTTTACCAATCTAGCTAATGTTTAAGAATTATGTGTATATATAAAATCACACATATATATAAATACTCACATATATAATTTTTTTTTTTTTTGGTAAATTATTTTCATTTACTCTGTACAACTGAGTAGAAATTCTTCTCTCTTAGTACTCTGGACAAATTACTTCTGCTACACGAGTATTTTTGACTTGGACAAGAAAGCACATAGAAATGATAGTGACCACTCCGATAACCCACTGACTGAGTCATGTGATGATCAGTTACAATGCCCAGTTGAGGATCCACCAGTTTACATCCTCTTTAGAACAATAATTCTGCCAGAGTTGGAAAGACTGCCTTTTGAAGTTTTTCTGTGATCTTGGCACAAGCTTCAAGTAACAAAATCAGACATTCTAGGTAATTCTTGTGGTCCCATGTTTCTAACATAGAGGAATGACCATGGACTTTTAAAAAGCACAGGCCTGAGCTTAAATTGCTCCTCTAGCACACACTTTAGATAGCTTTAGGCAAGTGTGATGGTTAATTTTATTAATTTTTGTAACAATTGACTGGACCTTGGGATGTCCAGATATTAGATCAAACATTATTCTGGGTGTTTCCCTGAAGGCGTTTTTGGATGAATTTTTAACATTTACATTCATGGACTGAGTAGAGCAGATTGTTCTCTGTAGTGTGGGTAGACTTCATTCAATCAGGTGAAGTTCTTGGATAGAACGAAGGATTGACTTTCCCTTGAAAAGGGGGGAATTTCGTCTGCCTGACTGATGTATAGTTGGGGTATCAGTTTATTCCTGCCTTTGGACTTGAACTGAAACTTCAACTCTTCTTATGTGTTTAGTCTGCTAGGCCTTGGATTGGAACTTTACCATTGGATTTCCTCTTTCTCAGGCTTTTGAACTCAAATTAGAAGTACACTTTTCTAGGCTGGTGTGGTGGCTCATGCCTGTAATCCTAGCACTTTGAGAGGCCCAGGTGGGAGGATTGCTTGAGACAAGGAATTCGAAACCAGCTTGAGCAAGAGCAAGATCCTGTCTCTACCACAAAATTAAACCTTGGCTGGGTATATGGTATGCGTCTGTAGTCCCAGCTACTTGCGGGGGCTGAGGCAAGAGGATCGCTTGAGCCCAGGAGTTTGAGGTTGCAGTGAGCTATGATCACACAACTGAACTATAGGCTGGGTGATGGAGCAAGACTCTGTCTCAAAAAAAAAAAAAAAAAAAAAAAAAAAACCAAAAAGACAAAATCAAACAAGTATACTTTTCTGGGCCTCCAACTTGCCAACTGTAGATGTTAGGCTTTTTAACTTCCATGTCTCATAAGCCAAGTCCTTATATTCTCTTTGTCTCTTCCTCTCTCTGTATATCCTACTGGTTCTGTTTCTCTGGAATACCCTGGCTAATAAAGCAGGTTACTCAATCTTTTGCAACTTTGATTTCATTACATGTGAAACACAGGTAATTTAACCATTTGTAAGGTTATTGTAAGGTTTATGGGATCAAGAGCGTAAAGCATCTTGTACAAGGTAGGTATTTATTAAATGGTAGCTGTTATTATTACAGAGATAATTTTGCAGAGCACAGAGCTTTCCTTAAGCCCCTAATCTTTTTTATTTGTTTGTTTTATTTATCTTTTTGTTTTTTCAAAATTAAAAATCTCAAGTCCTGCTGCTAAGAGGAAAAACAAACAAAATTCAAAACCTTCCCCTCCCCTTCTCTTAAAGTATAGAACATGAAAGAACCTCAGTAGGACGGAATGGTGCAGAGAATTGGGGGATAGGGGGCAGGATAAACTCCCTCAATACTTTTAAAAATCTGTTCAACAGAAACTGTGATAAATATAGGACAGTGCAAGACTGGTAAAAATAAGGAGCAGCAGTGATGAGACTGTTATACATGTGGTCTCTCTTTCTTTTCTCTTTTCTCCTTAGTGTACTCTAAGCCCAAGGCGTGACTTTCCCATTCAGAACTAAGTTTTGACATCTTTGAGCCTCCCTCTAGATTTTTCAAGAAGAAGTGCATGAAGTATAAGCATTCTTCCTCACATACATCAGAAAAGAAAGGAGTCAGCGGTCACTATGCCTTCTACCATTGTACCCTGTGTGAATTTGAAAGATGGATGAAACTAAGCCAGGGAGTCTCACTGCTTTTTATGTCTTCTAGGGCAGCAGAAATACCTCAAAAATCTGTGCAGGAAAACTGATAGGGAGGCCCAATCTGCCTCACTAGCTGAACTTGTATGGTTTATCACAGCCATGAGCAAATTTTAAGAACCTTTTATTGAATATTGCAAAGACAGAACTTAAAGAAATGTGAGGAAGATCATGTCAGGAGGATAAAGTAGATGATGGAAGCTGTAGGTCAAGAACCATGGTAGAGGTAGTTCAGGGTCACCTTGTACCAATGTCTTAGAAATATAGCTTTGAGACATCAGAGAATAAGATTTTAGAGGCCTCTTATGTACTAGCAGAAGGTGATAGGAATAGAGTGCAATGGAACAATATTTATTAACAGCAAAGTCTCTACCTTTCTTTAAGAACACCTCTTCCCTTGCCATCTGGATGGGGCCATTGGCAGGTGTCCTGCTGGGGCTGGAATTCAAGTAGACTGGTCTACACAAATGGCCCCTTGAGCCCACAAACACAAAGGGTAAAAGTTCTAAAGGAAAGGAAAGGAAAAATATAGTTTCTCTGTCATGTAGAATTTTCAGAGGTTGGCTGGAAGAAGAATGGAGGCCCTAATCTTGATGAAGACCGTTCTAGTTAGTCCATTTTTTCCTCTTTTCAACCTTCAATAAAGCTTCCCACACTTAACTTCCTTTTGATTTTTGTCAGAGTACTTTTTATATTTGGATGCCACCTCTTTCAAAATTTCTGGTCAAAATTGTTTCTTACAAAATTCTCTAACTGCAAAGCATCTAATTCCCCACTGGCAACACTCTCCATTCCCATTTCCTGTCTCCTTAGGCTCTGACATCTCTGGATCCTACAACTCAGGACTGAGGGACCTACTTTTTCTCTATATGATACATCATTTAAGCTTGGACAACAGGAGAAGTTATTGCAAGGAGTTTTTTGAGGAGTTTTGCATCTATGTTCATGAGGGATATTAGTCTGTAGTTTTCTTTTTTTGTTGTGTCCTTTCCAGGCTTTAGTATCAGGATGATACTGGCTTCATAGAATGATTTAGGGAGGATTTCCTCCTTTTCAATATTATGGAACAGTTTCAGTGGGAAAGGTTCCAGTTCTTCTATGTAGGTCTTATAGAATTCAGATGTGAATCTGTCTGATCCAGGTAATTTTTTATTGGGAGATTTTTTATTACTGTTTCAATCTAGCTACTACTTATTGGTCTGTTCAGTATTTCTATTTCTTCCCAATTCAAGCTTGGGAGGTTGTTTGTTTCCAAAAATGTATCAATTTCCTCTAGCTTTTTTAGTTTGTATATATAGAAGTTTTCATAGTAGTCACATATGGGATTTTGTATGTCTGTGGTATCAGTTGTAATATTTCCTTTTTCTTTTCTAATGGAGATTGTTTGAGTCCTTGCTCTTCTATTTATGGTTAATCTAGCCTGTGGTCTATCAATTTTGTTTATCTTTTCAAAGATCCAACATGTTTCATTGATCCTTTGTATTGTTTGTTGGGTTTCTATTTTCTTTAGTTCTACTCTGATCTTTGCTATGTCTTTTCTTCTGGTAGCTTTGGGTTTGGTTTGTTTTTCTTTTTCTAGTTCTTTGAGGTGTGATACTAGGTTGTTAATTTGTGATCTTTCTATCATGCTGATGTAGGCATTTAAGGTTATAAAATTCCCTCTTAGCACTGATTTTTATGTATCCCAGTGATTTTTGGAAGCTTGTGTTGTCTTTGTTGCTCAATTCAAAAAATCTTTTGATTTTCATCTTAATTTTATCATTGAGTTAAAGATTGTCCAGAAGCAGGTTGCTTAATTTCCATGTATTTGAATAGTTTTGAGAGTTCCTTTTGGAATTGATTCTAGTTTTTTTCTACTATGGTCTCAAAAGATACCTGGTATAATTTTGATTTTTCTGAATTTTCTGAGACTTGTTTTGTGGCCTTACATAAGATCTATCTTGGAAAATGTCCAATGTGCTGATGAGAGTACATATTACATAATTTTGGGGGGTAGAATGTTCTGTAAATATCTCTTAGTTCCATTTGTTCTAGAGTCCCATTTAAGTCCAGTGTTTCTTCAGTGATTTTCTGCCTCAATGATCTGTCCAGTTCTGTCAGTGGAGTGTTGAAGTCCCTGGCTATTATGATGTTGCTGTTTATTTCTTTGCTTAAATCAAGTAAACTTTGTTTTATGAACATGGAAAGCTCCTGTGTTAGATGCATATTTATTTAGGATTGTTATATCTCCTTGTTGAATTATTTCCTTTGTCATTATATGATGACCAGGTTTGTGTGTGTGTGTGTGTGTGTGTGTGTGTGTATGTTTACCATTATTGACTTAAAGTCTATTTTATGTAATATGAGAATAGCTATTACTGCTTGGTTTTGGTTTCCATTTGCATAGAATATTTTTCCATACCTTTATCTTGAATCTTTGAGAATCTCTGCAAGCTAAATAGAT